CAAATATAGTTTATCCAAATAAAGTTTAAGAATCAATCTCATAAATTACATGTATTTTAAACTGTCAAATTGTATTAGATTGTGATTTTAATACTGCTTTTTTAACAAATATTGTTAAAAAATAAATAAAATTTGATAGTGGCCTTGTAAATCCATAACGTCTAAGGTTATCTAACTACCTAATTTAATTATTTATAACAAACTGCTTACCCTCAAAAATCATCTTTTCATATTAATGCAAGTTATCGCCTTTCATTAATCCTTACCATGGTCACAAGATAAGACACAAAAGTGTAAAAATTCATGTGAAACTTATTCTTCACATCTAGCGAGACTTATCACTTACTTGTCTAGTGGGATTTAGACAAGTAATACAAAACAACTTATCACCTCTGGTGCTTTAGTGACATAAAATCTACTTGCTATTTACTAAACCTCTAGATTGAGCAAAAATGTGACAAAATGAGACATTAAAAAAAAGTCAACATAAAACTAACTGTTAGTAAAACGTAAATAAAATGTCACTTATCTTCTTTTAAATAAGCCCAGCTATTGTAAGTGTAAAATATGAAATGCTACTTTATAAATTTCATGAAGTTTATTTTATTCTCAAACTTACTAATAATTATGTTAATTAAGTTATGTTTAATAATAATGCATCCTAATTACGGATCTATTTTGTTTTTAGGATGGTATTACAAAAGTAAAGTATAGATAATATTTTTAATTGAATTTATTCAGTTTCCATTTGCTCATAGGTCCTTAATTTGTTTCATTAATGGTCCTGAAAAGAAGTACTTAATTTTCATGTGCAGAAATTTGTACGAACCCTGTAAAATGGCCCTTACCTGGTTAGCCATGGAGTTGAACTGGGCTTGGATGACAGAAACAGGCAATTCATTGCATGCTACTTCAAGTCTCCTCCATACTTCATCAACCATATTAGCTGGAGAGGGGTGTGTGCCAGTCTCTCATAAACCCATGACCAGATGTTTTTCGATTCGATGGGTGACAGATATGGACCATGCAGGCCAGGTCAGCAATCAACCTGTGTATCGAGGAAGGTCAGAACACGATGTGCAATATGTGGTCTTGCATTCTTATTGGCAGATGGCGTTTGGCAGGCCTCAAAGATAAGGCTCAACCACTCACGTAAGATGTCAAAAAGGTACTGATCTGTGTTCAAATTACCTTCAATCCGAACTAGAGATGTGCATGTTGTTTACTCAACGGCTGCCCAAACCATCACACCAGGTGCAGGGCACCTATGCCAATATCGAATGCAAGCAGGCTACATGAGGTTTCCTCGGAGCCTCCACACATGTATGCGGCCATCAGAATACTGCACACAGAACCGGGACTTGTCTGAAAAGATGACATTGTGGCACTCCTGTATCCAGCTTTGTCCTTTGGTACACCAGAGTCACCATCTCTCTCTATGCTGCATTGTCAAAAGAAAAAGAAGTATTGGTTGACGTGCTGAATGTCAACACATTGTATGAGCATATACTGAGCATGCTGCAAACCTGCCCATTTCCTAATTAATGGTCCGATGTGTGCTTGTGTGGTTTTGCAGGGCTGAACTCACAATATGCCTATTCTCTTGGCCTTAGTATAGGGAGGGCGTTGATATCCTGCATGCCGTTCAGTGTTACCCTCAGCAACCCTTTGATTCCATACTCATATGACAGTGGTTGGATGTCGACCAGTGCTGTGAGCGATATCACAGAATGATAATCCACACTCTCGATAGGCAATGATCCTGCCTCTATCGAATTCCAGCACTTGCTGATAAGCAATTCTTATATTTGAGGCATAACACTGTATTCTGACCAAACTCCGAGCTTACAAAGTGCATACCGAGCGAGAAATCTATTGTACAACTTTTCTTTTATGCAGTGCTTCAGATGTTGTTTCTTCCTCCTGCACTGTCTAAATACACTGAAATACTAATTATTGGCATATTATTCCAACTTCTTCTTTCTTTCATCTGATTTTGACATTCGTCAGAACAATCCTTCGTGGTGTTGCGTGGTGGACTATAAAAAACCCTCTGCAGACGGATGTGTCATATAAGCCTCAGTCCCAAATGTTGCTAGCAGCCGTGTGATGCACTGGTGCATTACCCACTGCATTGCACTGGTGCAACGCACTGTCTCCAAGGTGAGTTGCGTTAAGCGCCATGCCATTTCGTAAGAGGATTAGCTGCTGATGCATATTTGATATGTCCATCCTGAAGGAGTTAATGCTGTGCAGTGTGTATATATTTGTGAAGATATAATTTAGTTCCTTGCAGTAATTTGATGAGATGAGTGTTTGACTAGGGAAGACATTGTTTTGCAGTCGCAAGTGGATTGAGGTTAGAAGATCACTGAAAATATCAATTACATAGTAGAAAATGCGGAGAATTTTCGAAGAATTACAAAAGCATCTGGTAATCCAAATATCTCTTTATTATATCTTGATTGCCCTATGGCATGACACATCACATTGGGGGCCAATCTGCACCTCACAGTTTTGATGATGAAGAATTACAGAAGCAGGCAAGGAAGAGACATCCTTTAGCTAGCAGAGAAAGTAAGCAGTAAGCATCCTTTAGTAAGCAGAGAAAGAGAGAGGGTAGTTGGATTAATGACATTTATAGTAAAATATATAGTAAATTAATCTGATTGGCTGAAATTTTCAGGCAATGCAGAAGTCTAAGATGACATAATGTGAAATTAGTTTTCAGTTATGATGCAGTTTCAAGAAAGTTATTACTTGAGAGGAAGTACTCAAATTAAAAAAGGAGCAATTAAGAGGCTTTTTAAATTGTAATTTTTATTTATATATTTTTATCTTGCATATTCCTCCATTCAAGTTTCTTTTTACAAATGGTGGGCACTCGCCTATAACGGCATTAGCCGCTACTAAGGCCAGAAGTGGTAGCCATTTTATTGTGGAGGCACCTAATAGGCAGCCACTGTTACCTCCTATGAAGAGACAGACAATTTTACATCCATGCCTTCTCTGGGTTTCGTACCCGGGCCCTTTGGTATCGCAGTCAGGCTCCCCTAACCACTATACCGTCTGGGTGCCCCCCTTCAAGAATCAATATAAAATCAAAATATTTCAATTATATATATAGGATATTCTAGTAAAATTAGTACTTATTTATGCATTCTAAAACAAAATCACATGTTCTTATTGCAGATTAGTGTAATAATTAATATACAGAAACAAACAAAATGCAGTATAAATAATAAACTTTGATGAGAACTAGCAAGTCCTCTACAAGCGAATCAACATAACAACTTGCTGATGGCTGTGGGATGCATAAATGCAATCATATATAAAAACCTACAATCCTTATACAAAGTAACTGGCTTTTAGCATTGTATATTAAAAAAAACCTCGAAGTTTTTATTTAATAGTTATGGCCATAAAATTATTCTGCTTAAATTGTACTTGAAATAAATAAAAAAATTAAAGACACAAAATTAAAAATTTAAGTTAGACAAAATTGTATGATCAAGCTATATCTAGGAAATTTGGGAAACAGAAGCTAACATTGCTCCACAGTAATAATTTAGAGAAAAATTTCAAGTCTAAAATAAGCCAGATTTAAAAAAAAAAAAAAAAAAAAAAAATCAAATTTGGCATTAAAATTATCATAATTTAATTAAATTTTAAACTTTAATTTGTGTTTTTGTCTGTTCAGAAACAGGTTGGATTAGGTTTTGAACTGCTTTTAACTTTGTATTTATTTATATATATATGGTTTTTAAACATAAGTTTTTGTTTTAATGTACATGCACATGTGTGTTTTTTGAAGCTGAATGATTTTCCAGTAATAACTTATGCAGAAAATTTTAGAATTAATGAATACGGAATGCATTCTTCAGACTGGATGTTGTAGTTATATGTAAAATGTATAGTAGCATATGTATATGCATATTTATGATCATTTGTAGATGAGCGAGTAAAGATATATTTGTCGTTGTTGAATGTCTGGAATATTGTATGTTTATTTGTAACATAAAATATCACTCTTGTCTTAAATGTATTACAGGGGTGTGATTAAAATTAAGAGTGATATGTTTATTTGAGGGCAAAAAGGTATGTTGTTTTTTTATTATGGAAGTTATGTTGATTTTATGATATACGCAAATGAATTTTCTTTTGCATAACTGTATGATAACTGTATCATAACATACCCTAATTTAAAAATACAATACATTTGAACTCGTTAACTTGAATAATTATGTGAATTAGCAGATGGCTGTCCTTTCTTTTAAAGTGAGTATGATTATATTATCTGAAAACGTATTTCTAAACTAAAGAAGAAAACAAATAGCAGAGCAAAAATAAAGAAGTTTAATTAGAATTATTAAAATAAGTACATGGTTGAAATTTTACAGTATTGCAAAAGGTAAGCGAGTTTACTCCAAAATGCAAAACACTGTGTTGCCAAAACTTTTAAACTAAATTATATATTATTATATCTATTATTAACATGCATAACATTATTATCCTGTGGTTTATTATTTGTAGATTTATTCTTTTATCATTTATTTTCTGAAATGCTAGCAGCATATGCTTATATTGTTTTAAACATTGGTGTTGTATAGGAATTTTTCAGACTTAAAAGATGCTGTTAACAGAACGTATGCTGCTGACTTTGTTTGTTCATGACTATCTTTTTTGGGGGGAAATTATAAAATACATGAAATCGTAATAGAAAACTGAGTGGTTGTTGGTTATTCGGTACCCACTTATACTGCCAAAAATATCATCCATGACTATGATTCCTGTAAGTGTTTGGCAGCCCTAGAAACTGTTCTGGATTTTTCTTACAAAGATGAAATTTTTATTTCTTTATATTTCCATTTTTTTATCAAAGCTATTTATCTGTTTTTTGGAGAGGTGCTAGTAGAGGGTAATGCCTTCTTTTTTATTTTAATTGGTATGCAAATAGTGTAATGCATGTAAGGATTAGCAGAATGGAAGAATAAGTGGTGTCATTGTGGTATGTCTCATCATCACTTGTCTTATTTATCTGAGTTCACTTAGAAGCAGAAACTAGCTGCATTAACAATCTGTTTAATGCCATTCTGAATGAAATTATTGAACATAACACTCTGGAAATCAATAAATTGTTCATTAGTGTATTGGTGGGTACAAGATAATTAGCAGGTACCAAAACTGTTTCATGATTTGTAATTAAAACTGCTATTTTTTGTTGCTAGTACTATTATTTTATGTTAGTTTTATGAATGGAAAATCCTTTAAGTTTTCCTATCTGTACAAAGTGTATTAATTATATTTTTCCTCCCTTAGAATGTAGGAAAAGGGTCATTGTGGTGTATTGACCCTGAGTTCCGTCCTAATCTTATACAGGCCTTACAAAAAGCTCCTAGCATGGCAAATGTGGAATTCAGTCATTTTTCTTGTATGTCACCTTCTTATTGTCAGAATGGAAAATTAGAAAGGTTTGTGAATTTTCTGAAATTTGAAGCATTGAAAACAATCTTTCTGAAATGTTATGAACTGACTGAAATTCTCATATAAAGTGAAAGGTTTTATTATGAAAACAGTTTTATGACACTATATAATTTTTTCTATCATGCATACTTAATCTTTAGTTGGTAAATGTTTGAACTTAATATTGTTGTTCTGATTTTCACAATTGCTGTCAAAATTTCAGAAACGGCCCTTAAGTTGTTAAATTGAATACAATCTAAATTAGTCAATTTTAGGGGTGGTGCTTTTGAAAAGATTGTCAATTCATTGCCAGTATTTAATAATATTCTAAGAAATACTGAAAGGTGGTAACTAAAAGATGCTCCACTGTATTTTAATCTGAGTTGAAATGTTTTCGGTTTTAGGACATTATGGGGCAGTTTGGGCTAACAATATAAGGTAAAGGCTTAATAAAAAAATCTGATGTGTACACCACATGACTTGCTTGTACAGAATATTAAATTATACACATTTTTTCTTGCATTTCATTTAAACTTATTGGATTTAATTAAATCTACTTCGTCAACAGCGCATAAACCACAGTAGAATAAATGCATTCTTTAAAAGTCACTCTATTTGTTTACCATACCATAGCGACACTCTGGCGCTAGATTCACTTAACAGTATTATATTTCGTTCATATTATAATTCAGAATGCACAAAATTTATATCATTTACAGAATTATCTAATTGTTGCCACATGTTCTATTCAAATACTATGATAAAGCTAGAACGATGTATAAAAGAAATTAAGCAAACAAAACAACAACCACCAAAAAAAAAAAAAAGTTTTTCACAGACGATTGAGTATATTTCATTCAATTAATTCAGTTTTCACTTCGCAACAAGGCAAAAATTACGTAAAAACTAAAAATATCTTAATTAAAAATTACGAAGTAAATCTTAAACGCTTATTTCCTCGAAAAAATTCCAGAAAGATTAAGCATGATTTAAATAATAAATGAAGGCGTTATCTTTGTTGTTGCGAAGCTAAGTTTCTCCAGATTGGCAACAAATCTGCTATTCTGCTCTTTCAAATGTAAACAAGAGCAATGGCCGCCATCAAAAACATTATTAGGCTTAGCGGCACTTAAACAATTTTAAAATTGTTGATAATTCTACAACTGTTTCATGCAGATTAACTAAAGGCATAAAAAACTTAACCGGAAGATTAAGAATAACATAATTCAATCATTTTAAAGCAAAAAAATGCACAATTTACCAACATATAAGAATACAAAACGCTGAGCTCAGAGCCAAGCAACAGAGTGTGTGTATGTGTATATTTATATACTTTTATTATGGCTGATTGCAACCAAAAAGGAGTTTTTGAGTTACGTGAGATATGTATGTATGTACCGTTGTCACGAAAAAAATATCTTTTGAATCCATTTTAACTCAGTTTATAATTTGTTTAGAGAAAGAGAGTCCTTTATTCTGTCCTTACGTACAGTTGTCATGCAAAAACGTCGTTAAATTGCATTTGATAGCGATCAAAATGGATATTTTCATTGAAATATGGTACCCAGACTTTTTCATGATTACAATACTTCCTTTAATTCGTACAAGGAAGTAAACAGTTGTTATATTGCACTAATTTTAAATCAGGATGTCATATGTATTAACCAGAAGTGTCCCAGGTTCTTGTTTTCTGGTTTGGCAGCAAAAAATTATTTACCAGTTGGTCGTTCCTTGGAAAGAATGTATTTATATTGAAATGTTTTTATGCATTTTCTTTTTAGGTGTAGGCTTACCCACTAGTATAATATTAAAAAATATATGCATAAAAGCTGCGCCTTTGTTTACGCATGTACTTTATGCACTACTTAAATGTAAAACAAATTGTTAATATATGCAAACATATTCATATGGAGTTTGTTGTGCAGGTAATTTTTTTAGCTGTCCTCATGTTCATATTATGAGGCCCACTGTATTTAAAATATTTAACATGTTGTGTATTGCAAATATTAATTTTGGCTTTTGATTTATTTTATTTTCATTTTATCGTGCTATGTTCAAAGACTGTTAATATTTGAAAAACAAAGAAAAAGTGTATCATTTGTTCATAAATTGTTTCTCTTAATTTTTAGTGATGTCAAGCCATGTCTTTTAGTTTCCTCTCAGCAAGCTTTACAGATTCCTTCTCCTGGTAAGCTACTGTTACTTTAGCTATTTATACACTTAATTCTAAACTTATGGGAGATAAAAGATTTACTTCTTTGAAATTGAATGAAAATAGGCATGTAAATTTTGGACAGATGTTTTGCTTTTAACTATCCATATTTGTAAATAAAAAGGAAATGAAAATTGAAGTAATGACTGTGTTTATAAACTCAGATTTTGTTCATTGTTTCTTATTTTTACACTTGAATTATTAATTAAAATGATTCTACATTAAATGTATGTAAAATTTATAGACATGTTACATGTATTTTTGAAATATAGTTTAGTGAAAAGAGCCATATTACAGTATTTAAATTTCAACATATGTTTTGCAAAAGTTTGATGTCCTTTTACTTATTTCAAAAGTTGTTTTTACGTTGTATAAAACATAGTTCTTGTAACCCTCTTTATGCATTGTAAAACATTTAATTGTTCATAATAATTGTTTAATTGTTCTTTTATTAATTTAATAGTTTCTCTCTTTCCCCCCTAGAGCTTTTTCCATATCTCTCTCGGCGCCTTGCAAACAGTATAAAAGGTAATTAAAGCACTGTGTATTAATTTTCCTGTTAGTTTTCCTCCCTATGTAATCACTGAATGACTGTATGACAGCATTGAAATTGTTTTCCTTTATTTTGTCTTTGTATAAATCTAGTAAAACCGTCATTAGAAACTCTGTATAATTTTTTAGATTTATTTATTTATGTGTTTAATGAAGTTTTTTTTTGGGGGGGGAGGGCAATTCTCATGTTTTTTATTCATCTCTCTCATGTACTTTTTTTTTTTTTTTTTTTAATTTTACAAAGTGCTTATATAGTAGTAGCTGCTTAAAAATAATTAAAATGTATCTTCCTTTTTAGAGAATATTTTATTACTTGCATGTGTAATTTTTTTTTAATCTTAAAATTTAATTATCAGGTAATGATATTAATCCACTCCAGTATTTTGCATTGAATATGATCATGTAATTCTCTTGAAACGAATAATTTCTGCAATGTGAATGATAAACCAGTGAAGAAATTCTGCGTGAAAGCATGGTCGCAGTTCATTGCAACTTTATCCAAGTTTTGATGCTACTGCTAACACTTGCAGGATTTTGATTACTTGGTTGAATGAAAGAGATAATGCTCGAGACAGGTTTCACCATGTCTGAGAGAATGGAGCAGAAGCTGTACCGTTTGGCAAGGTTGCTGTGGTTGAAAATTTCAAAAGCTATAAGAAATCTAAATAAAAATTTAAATTAGTGTTAGCAATAATTTAGGTCTTGAATGAATTGAGGGTTATAATTTTTATCCCAACAGTGGAATTTTGTGGTGGATTTTTATTTTATTTTGCTACTTTTTTCATGTCACATCTAAAATATGCTCATCCTGAATTTTAAAAATTTACTAACATGTCCTTTGTATACAAAATTACATTTGTAAAGACTCATAAAGTGTCCCTTAAATGAAAGCTTCCCCTGTTTATTTTTGCTTTGCTATTTTTGAATTTCTTTATTTGTTTATGATGTGCTTGGGGATGCTAAGGTGCAGCTTGCTAGATATGGGAACATAGATCGTTTCTGTTATTCTTGATGAATGGTCAAGTCACTGGCTTTACATTTGAAAGGCAATTATAAAATATGAACTGAGATTTGCAATTATAACAACAGCAAAATTTTGTCTAATGAGCTGTTTTATCATTAGATGATCACACTTTGTCATTTCATTTTTTTTATATCATACATGGATTGGAACAGTAAAAATGTACCAGATGGACCTTTTAAAATCTGTCATTTCATTTTTTTATATCATACATGGATTGGAACAGAAAAAATGTACCAAATGGACCTTTTAAAATCATAGTGTATTAATGTCTTACCATAGTTACAGAACATTTTTTTTGCTCATTTTGCTTGTCTCTGAGAATTACACATTCTTTTAGACTTGTCAAAGTTATGAATGGAATCACCTGTGTGTGTGAGTGTGCCGGTTGTGCACATTGTGAAGTTGCTTGATTATGAGGGGCATCATTTCTGAGTGGTAAATTTGTCCCAAGAACATTTCCATGATTTTGCTAAGTGTCTTTGGCCCCTTTTATGTAGCCTTATGACCAAGAAAACGGGTAACTAAAATTGAATTTTTTGACATATTTGCTGTTCTGTTAATTTTTAATTCTGGCATCTAGGCAGCCATATACATTCACTGGAGTCCTGGCTTCAAAAGTGGAAAATCGATATTAATATGGACAAGTGTGAAGCAGTACTCTTCATCACGTTGATAGCTCACTCATACTCATAAATTGAGAAATCCTCAAATTGACTGAATCCATTTTCTAATTATACCAGGTTGTTCGATAAGTTTGCGGAACGTAAATGAAGAAACCAATTTTTATTTGTAAAAATGACTGTATTTTTCATCGTAGTTTCCCTCAACTTCAATACACTTATTCCAACGGTCTTCTAATTTATGGATCCCTTGACTGTAGTGGTTTTTTGGCAGCTCTGCAAAATATCCCTCCACGGCAGCTATTACCTCTTCGTTTGAAGAAAATCGTTTTCCACGGAGATATTGTTTGAGGTGTGGGAAGAGCCAGAAGTCGGAGGGAGCTAAATCTGGCGAATAGGCTGGATGTTGCAACAATTCGTACTTCAATTCAGTTATTTTAGCAATGGTTTTTTTTTTAGCTGTGAGCACAGGTGTGTTATTTTGGTGGAAAATGATTTTCTTCTTCTGTAATCCGGGTCTTCTTTCACTAATTTTTTCGTCTAATTGATTCAAAAGGTTACAATAATAATCCGAATTAATTGTTTTGCCAGTTTGAAGGTAATCTATAAACAAAATTCCTTTCGCATCCCAAAAAACTGATGCTAACACCTTCTTTTCTGATTTTTGCACACAAACTCGCTTTGGCGCCGAAGAACCGGTTTCACACCATTCCTTAGCCTCCTGTTTTGATTCAGGATCATGATGGTAGACCGAAGTCTCATCCATTGTGATAAATCAACGGATAAAGTCGCTTTTATTCTTCTTAAAATGCTCCAAATGTTGGTGGCAAAGTCGCATCCGAATGTGTTTTTGCTCCATCGTTAGAGAATGAGGCACCCATTTTGCACAGAGTTTTTGAAACCCAAATTAACACTCAAAATATTGCTCACTGTGCCCAATGAAATGCCTAAAGTTCTGTTAAATCTCTTTTGGTCAATTGACAGTCTTCCAATACCATATCTTGTATTTTTCCGATGATTTCCTGTGTTGATGCAGTTTTTGGAAGTCCCTCTCACGTATCGTCTTCAAGGCTGGTATGACCACTTTTGAATAAACTAGCCCACTTGCAAACCATTGTTTTTGAAGGTGCAGATTCACCCAACCCATTCACCATTTTGGTATGAATTTCCATTGCCTTTAAACCTTTCTTTACAAAGAATTTGATAACTGCACGTTGCTCAATTATATCCATACCTGAAAAAAGCCACAACACGTTAGATATAAAGGGCGGTTAAACTATGAATAAATTAACAGATCGAAATGAAACTTTTGACGTGTTCCTAAGAAAGAACAAATATGAAAATGGCGTCGAAGTTTAAGCTCTAATATTGACGAATAGATGGCCCTCCACGAATGTATTCAACAACCTTGTATTCACTTATAGAGACTGCTTATGCTCATTTCATTTTGCTTATACTTTTAGATTGTCAAGGATAGTTTAGTGGTTATGACTTAAAACTGCGGACCAACAGGTTGACAGTTTGAATCCAACCAAATTTAAAATTATATTTTTTTATATTATATTAATATATAATGGTTAAATATTTTCAATTATTTGATTTAATAATTACTTTACTAGTGGCTCCTAATTTTAAACGCTATTCTACCATTTACTGTTGGTTTTCCCCCCATCTCTTTATTTTTATTTTTGGCTTTCGTATTTCTTATACTAAATTGTTATGACTAAAGTAGTCCAACCCGCTCTAATCCAGAAGTATTATTTTCTAAACTTCTTACTCCCAGCCTATACTAAACTCCTGCTTTTGACATCACTGTTTTACTACCACAGCTCTTCCATATGGTTTTCTCAGTGGGTCTGTGGCTGGAGCTTGCCATCTTTTAACTAAAATACAACGATTCACTGACTTAGTGTTGCTTTCTCCTTCTAGAGTAATTCATTACTCTAAATTCACTTTCATCATCATGCTAGCCATAAATTGCTATCAGTTATTCACATTGATTCACACAGGATCAGACTCTTCCCTGGTGCCTAGATCTCGTGACCAGATCACCAAAGTCATCTAGGCAGCCACCTTCCTTTTAATTTGGCAGTACTAGGAACATACATAAGAAATTTCTGTATAATGAATCTGTTTGGCACTGCTAGAAATATAGAATTTTTGTAGAGTGGATCTGTTCAAGAAATAAGGCTTTACTACAGTGATTAAATATAAGGTGATAAAAAATTAACAAATGTGACAACAAGTTAGTGACATTTTTTTTACTTTATAAATGTGGTGCATTAAAGTAAGTTTGAATGTACTCAGCGCTTAGATGTAGCATACTAAGTGATCTGTGATCTTAGCATTCTCAGAGACAATTTCTGCTTTGACTGCTTCCTGTAATACAAATAATGTTATGTTCCATGTCAGTGTCTGTTAAAGTCTAACACGATACTAGTTGGACTTACTGATAAGTAAGTATATGATTGATACAGCATTGTAAAGATTATATGAAATTGGGGAAAAAAGGAGTGTTGGCAGTCTGTTAATGTATAACAGTTAAACTTTATATTGTTGTAGTGCTGACAGGATTTTAGAATATCTTTTTAGAATCTCTTTGATAGTAATATTGTTAACTTTTTTTAAATTAATAGAAATTCTTGCTAAATTTGATTTTATAGTGGCAGAACAATAAGCGATCGAATGTGAAAAGGAAATCTTCCATATTATTTTTCAATAACATAAAGGGGGAAAAATCAATATGATTTAAGAGTTGAAATACTATTATATTTTAAAGATGCCCAAAAATTTTATTTCTTTATGGCCCTTATCCTAAGCTGTAGAATGTTGGTGTTATTAGTATGCTAGATTTATTCATCATGCTAAAAGTCAAATATTTATTCATCATAATAATCACAAATTCTAGAATATTTTTTAAGATTTTAGATTGTGCATGTACTGCTTATCAGGGATTGTTCCAGTTTATTATAAATGATTTAAAATTAATGAATAATAATTTTTGAAACTTACATGAACAATCTTATTGTTAATTTACAAAACAAGCATAAAGAATTTCAGGGAGTTTAGAATCATTCAAGTAAATTGAAGATTTATTTAGTGCAATAGGTTACACATTTATTAAATTTGGTAAATGAGGAAGCTAAAGCTTCATTAGAAACGATCATTTTCTTGAGGGGGGGACAGTTAGAAAAATTTACAATCATTTTTCAGTTCCTACGAAGCCTTGGACTACATTAAAAATGTATACAGTACAAAGTCCGAAATCGGGACTCATCAGGATTTCGGCGATTCTGGATTTGATATTTTTCTGGATATTAGATCATCAGTTTAAATCTAGTAAGATGGCATGTAGAAATTATAAAATTAAGAAAAGGAAATTGTGATTTAATGAAGTATTTATGATCTAAAGGATATCAAAATTTACAAAAAAAAAAAAAAAAAAAAAAAAAAAAAAAGCTTAATATTTATTTGTTTACCTTATTAAGCATTTCTTTCAATGTAATTTGTTTAAGCTGCTTCATTTTTGTGATCATATTTTCTTTTTAATTCTGTAGACAGACATAATTTCTTGTTCAGTTACATTTTTGAAGTCTTGTAACTGCTGTTTCGAGAATTCCGATGAACTCGTCAATCTAAATTTTTTCGTTTTTCAGTAACTTCTCTGTCACTTCCTTCACTAACGGTAGAGGTATTTTATGGATCTAGAACCATACTACAAATTTCGCCATTCATTAATTGATTGATGATTGAGAAGCATTGTCATCACAATGAAAAGCTTCATTTATGTCATCTTCATTTATTACCGCTTTTCCACATTTCTTTACAAAATCTGTTAATTGGAAAATTTCACCTTTGTTTTGCGATATCCGAAAACCTTCAAAATTAGCGGCTATCATCATCAAATTTAGCTATCCTTCACTATACATGTTTGGCTATGCATCATGAGCTTGGCGACTAACAAGTTATTCCATCAAATTTTATCTTGTTTCTATCGCGCACTGAGACAATTAAGCCTGAATTGTATTAGTTATTTATTATACTTATGTCTATTTCTTGCACATGCTTAAGGCTTATCAGAGTTCTAAATAAATAATTTCTCACATATACTTAAGCCTTAATTAGGGTTGGTGCTAGATATCTTAATGCCTGATGCAGTCTCTGTGGGTCCCAAATTCTGGACTCGGCGCGGTCATATGAGCCCTGGCGCTGGTTCTGGGTTTATGTGAATAACAAATCAGTTATTCTTAATTTAAATAGCCTTAAATGTAATCTTTGGGTCTATGAGTATCATCAACAAAATCTATTTTTAGCACATGGAAAGAAGTTTTTGGTAAATTTTTCCTCATCAATATTTTTTAGGGCATTTAACTTAATTCTGTAATCATCACCAAGCGTAATGTCAACATAAATTATCATACTTCTTTATTATTTAATTACTAACATAAAACAAATTGTTTAGTCATCCCTACATGAGTCATTATTTAAGTTGTCATGTTTCTATAAACATGCAGTGATGAAAGGAAAGTATAATAATGATTTACCAGGTTGGCGTCAAATCAATTATGTATCTATGTGGAATGTTTTGGTTTGAGATGTGTGCCAGATACGCGATACGCAGCAATGGAGCCAAATTACTGATTGTGCAAATTTATGCTAAAATTTTCAATAATAAGGTATTTTATTTAGTCTCGAAGTGAAATTAAGAATCGGGACTTTCCAGATGTTTTATCATGCACGAAGGGGGGGGGATCAAATGCGCATGTGTAAAGCCTACGAGAAAAACATTGTTGGTGGTTTTGAGGTTTGAATTTTAGATCATTCCGGATACTGGATGTCCTTATCTCGGACTTTATACTGTATTTCACAATTTTCTTGATTGTTCTCAGTTTTGCACATTTCAGAAGTAATTGCATAAAATAAAAAAATTGTTTCTGAGTGATATTTCTTTCCTGTAATTAAAGTAATAGATTATTCTTTTTTAATAATTACCTGAAGTCATTTTAAATTTATTGAACATTTATGTATGTTAATGTGTTCAATATTACCTATATGATGAGAAAGTAATTTTCTGAAGATGAGTAAGTAAAAACATATGAAAAAAGAGTGCAATATATTAGTCATGTGCTTTTAATTATCAGCATGTTGAGGTGTATGTGTGTGCATTATGCAGTTTTTATGTTTTTAAAATCCTGAATTGTTTTAATTTGTTATTTCTTCATTAATTTGTGTTGCATTTGTTGAAATTTTTCTAAGATCCGGAAGTTGATGCTGCAGCCACAATGCTCACTTTGAAAAATGGTCCAAGTGTCACAGTTCAGCGTAAGTCTTTTTTTTTTTTTTTTTGAATGGCTCACTTTATTTTTTTTTTAAATATGCATATGAAAATGAGATTACTTAAATTTATTGCAGCTATTGCAAAGCTTGCTGCATCCCTTAATTTTATTGATTTATATATGTATAATTGAAAACATATGAATTAGGGTTGTTTCATATAAATTTCAGTGATTTAGAAAATAAATTTCTGTCATTTAAATACAGACACAGACTGACTGTGCAACTGGTGAAGATATTTCCATATATTCTTTGCAAATAGAAAATATAATGACTAAACATTTGTTTTATTAAATTCCAAGAATTATTTTACTTATTATCATTGATATATAGAATATATCCTTTACTTATTTTCGTGTTATAAATTAATAACATTTATATTGTTTGAATGCTTGTATGAGAAAGAATTCTGCTTTTCATATATTATGTGAATATATTTAATGTTTATTTATTAGCATATATTATGTGAATGTATTGAATGTTTATTTATTAATTCACTGTTATGTTATTCATAGTATAATAATGCACTGTAGAAACAAATTCTAGTTTTTTCTCCATCCCCCTCCAGAAAAAATTAATATTTTTATCATATGTCTTTACAAACTTTTTAAATGAAGTAACTTAATATTTAACTTAATGTATGGTATTTCTTAGATGTCAGTGAAGATTCTGAGAGTGATATCATTCAATGCAATCATAGGTTTCTTCGTAAAAGATTCCGCCTTAAGTGAGTATCATCATATTTGTATTAAAATGTATCAGGATTTATACGATTTATCAACAATATTTTAATGATACTTTCTGATTACCAGTAACCCCACAAAAATCACCAACCTGTTGACAACTTTGTGAAATAGCAAGAAACATTTTTGTCTCTTTATGGCTTAAACGTGTTTTTCTATTCATAAATGATACTAAAAAGTATCTTATGAGAAAAAATCAAAAATCTGTGTGGCCATTGTTTCAGTGCATACTGTTTGTCGAAATGATGTTTGAATATAAAATGCATTTAATTCACATGTATTCAATCATGTGTATGGTACTTGTATGCACAAATTAGTTATTATCATAGGCTTGTTGAAAATCGCCAACATACAGTTCTGTGAGGTGTTGAAGTAAAAAATATAAAAGCTTTCAATAATTTAAATTCCTAATTAAAGTTTCAAATATAATAAAATTAGAAATTTTTTATAAAAACAAAATTTTAATTTGAATATTAAGATACAAATTTTTGAGAGTGATAAGCTATCAGTATTAGTTTTATTTTGTCTTTTCTTCTATATGTAAATGTGATAATTTTAACATATTTAAAAATGTTACCAGGTTTCATTAATAATGATAATTTGTTGATAAAATTAAACTGGTAATTCCTTAGGATCTATGATATTGAAATTCACATGATACAGATTTCACTGGTTATATCTTAAAACTAATCTGTGTAAAATAAGCTTTCTAAAGAGTGCCATTCTCTCAACTGGAGAAAGATACCATTTGTGATGATCCTATTTTATGTTTGCAAATGAAGAAAAAGTTGTATAAATTTTTTTTGAATGTATTTTTGCATTAAATGACGTTTCTCTAGCATTAATTTTAGTCTTTCTGCTCTGAAACAGGTACATGTTTTGTGAATTTTTTTCAAATGATAAATGATTTCATTCACAGATTTATCTGATAAACATGGTGGTATTGATTTGCTTTTGCTAAATTTTCTCTAAGTAATTTGATTTACTACAAGTCATGGTGGTATATTGCAATAATAACCTCTTAATTACACTTAAAAAATATTGTAAGTTTTAAGCATTCTTTTTAGGGAACATTTTCATTTGGTTAGCAAAGTTATGACAAAGATTATGACCGAGAGTTTTTGAAGTTAATTGATATTTTCATCTGATAAAAAATTACTAAGTATTTGGTTTGATAAATACTTTTAAAATGAAAATTTTGTTAGTTTTGTATGCATTCAAGATCCATTTAGCATTAGTACTTTGTCTGAATTTACTTTTGTTGAAGAAGATAATCGAGTTATCTTGCAACAGCAGTTTGAAAGCAAAACTTGGCAGCATGGAATTAACAGAACTTTGGATTTCAATAGAAGATGAATATTCCCTTCTAATAGATCTCAGTGAATTTTAATTCCATTTTTGACATTGTATATATGTGCAAAGCTGGGTTTTCCACTGTTACTGTAGTATAAAGCAAAAATCAACGAGGAGAAGAAATGAGGGTAAATGTGTCCAGTTTTATTCCATGATTTGAGAAAATGTGCAGTGATTTGCAGGCTAAGCCATCACAGTAATTATTAATTAAATGTTAACAAAGTAAAAGAAATGTTAAATAATGACGTTTTATTTATTTTTTATCTCTTATTTACGATTACTTATGATTAATCATGGTCATTGCTTAAGGTAGGGTACCATGAAAAAATTTTAATTGAAAAAAAGGTGCCACGAATGGGAAAATTTTAGGAACAGCTGTATTAAGTGATATGTGCCATTTTTTAAGTATAAATTTTAGTAGGAAAAAAATTGTTGCTTTTAATCAAGAGCTTTATAATAAATTTGAAAATTAATATAACAACTGACAATATGAGTTAATTTCGATATATACGAATCTCCAGCTGCCAGAATAATGTAATGTTTTTCTAATATTTTTTCCCTTCTGATACTAAGTTATCATAACGTGCTATATAAATTGCTATATAAACAATATTAAATTTATACCAGTGTTAAAATAATAATAAATAAATAAAATGAAAATCTGAAAGGGTTCAGATTTTCATGTCACAGCAGAGGGTTTGTTAAGGTTTTTTTATGTTCTCACTGAGCTTGCAGTTTACCAGTCTGCTTTTGTACTCATTCTGGCTAACACAACTTTATTTTCTTTTTAACTTTATTAAGCATTTCTTTGCACTTACGCCATGTAAAATTAAGTTGCTTAGAATTCCTGGTACAGCATTAGATGTTGCCATGAATTGAACTTTTTGTCTTTTTAACTTTATTATTAAACATTACTTTCTTTGCACTTATACTGCATAGAATATAACAGCAAAATCACAAAGTATTTAAAAACAGCATATCTTTAGAATTCCCAAATAGAGCTTTAAGTGTTGCCATACATTTTTTTATATTTGAAAATAATAACATTCATAACATTTGGGAATAACATTTGGTGTGACAACATTCTGTTATTTGAAAAGTGATGCAGACAAAAAAGTGAGGTTCAAGATTAATAGCAACCGTGGTACTAATAAACTGCAGATTATTCCACCCTCTTCCTTTTTATTGTGATTTAAAAGCTCCTTCTTAGATGGCTATCCAACCAGACAAAATTTCCCTCAGTACCTTGTTAAAGGAAACTTTACTGGAAACCATTGCTTCCAAGAATTTCAAATAATTAGACAAATTAATTATGCCATATAATTATCCCTTCTTTCTGATTGGTTGACTTAGGTGAAGCACAGAGTTGTATAGAATATGTGTACAATCATTGGAAAATACTATGGCTAGAAGCCTGTCTTTAAAATTAGTCTCTGGGATAAAGCAATTATTAGAGGACTTTTTTATTGCATTTTACATCTCTAGTTTACCAGCTGTATATTTCCCTAACATTATATTCCACTAAACTTTCTGTGTACTCTCTGTTTTCTCTCCCCCCCACCTAAAGTTTCTAAAGGCCATGTAATGCCGAAATTATTAATCGGAATTTTTTTAGATAATTAAAAATAGAAAGCATTTAGACATTTCACAGCTCTCAACCTCAACTTTGAGAGAGAATAAAATGTTAAAAGTAAATTTAAAATCTTTTCAGGAATTTTAATAATAAAATAAAGAAAGAAAATGAAAAATATAAAAATGTGAAAGCTTTCAGATTTTACATTATGCCCAAAGGGGTGTTTTTTAACGTTTTATGTGTTATCTTTATTTACTAAATATCGTGTTCTTCGCACTTAAACCATAAAATTCAGTTCAACAGCAATATTGCAAAATCATTTTAAAATGAGCATATCTTTAGAATTTCCAATACAGTCTCTCGCTTGCTTGAAATAAAAATATTTTTTTTTTCTGCACAGTGTTCTCATAACTCGCTTTTAAATTGTTGAGTTTATTAATTAATATCACAAAATATTTAAAAGAGCATATCTTTAGAATTTCCAATACATGCTGGAGATAAAAATCTTTTTTTTTCTCCGTAAAGTGCTGCCATTGCTCGCTTTGAAATCATTGAGTTTCTTAATCAAAAACTCATAAATGCTTTACAAAATATGAAATACGTAATAAAACGAATTCCAAATTTGGGCTTCCAGATGCCCTTATTTGGGTGGAAATGTACGTTATTCAAAACTTGGTGGCTCTAGGTACTTGTTCTATCACAGTGTGAAAAACATACATACATTTATGCTGCTTTAAGATTTACACAGTTAAAAAAAAAAAAAAAAAAAAAACATAATTCTTTTTATATTACAAATATAATACAGGGCTCTAATATTTGGTGGCAGCAATATGTAAAGTGAACTGACATTTCAATGCAAAATGCCAAAACGAAATTAATAGTCCATCTGGGCTAATTGCCCCTTTTGACTACAAAAAAGCTTAAGATGATAAAATATGGTGATTTAAGATGCCTGTTAATTGATTGTATTATATCATTTATATTATTGATATTTAGTTCTTTAAAATAAATTAATCTTTAAAAAAGTGATTTCAAAAAAACTGATTTATTTTAGCTTATTTTCCTTTAAGAGAACATATAAATTGTGTTATAAGTGATGTAGTGATGTTAAATTGTTAATAGGCAAGGACCTCAACATTGTGGTGCAAAGAGGAGTAAAACTTGCAAACCTGTTATAACTAACAGCCCTAGTGAAGACCACACCTATAGTGCCTGCCTGGATCAACAAGACTGTTGCCCTAGTATTAATCCTGCATCTGATGAAGATGGACAGCATTGGTCTGATGACAGTAAAAATACCATTGAAGAAATCTGCCGTTCAAATGATGCTAACATTTCTTCGAAACAGGGAATATTCTCCCGAAAAAATGAAGAAGAAGAAGGAGCTCATGCTCTAATGAATTTGGCTGAGATAGCATCAAAGAGATTGTTACGTAAAGTAAACATCAAGGGTTCGTGAGTAAAATGTTTTGCAAATCATACATTGGTTCAGTACAATCATCTTGAAGATATTCCTTGAGAATAATTGCTTGAGATTAAAAGTTTACATGTTTGTTTCTGTGTGTGTCTTGTATTTTCTGTCATTAGCTTCGTTAAAAATGCCAGTTTGCAGAGTTAATGTACAGAAATCTTTTGATGAGCATTTATTGAATATTTGAATAACTTTCATTCATAGTTAATTTATTGTGAAATGAAAGGAAAAGCTTTCTGATTCTTGTTTTATTATATGTAATTTTTGTAGTATAGTTTAATAGCTTGATATTTTTAATACTTTATGTGCATATCATTGCATTCAAATTGAGAGAAATTGTATTTGATCTTCTTAAATACTGTGCTCATTTGATAGCTCAATTGTTGGGGCAAAGTATTTTATTAACAGAATGAAAATTGCATTATTTGTATGCTGATTCATTTTACTAAAGCCTCTATTTGATTATGAAGTGAAAATTTTACTTGTTGTTTACTGGTTAAAATGTATCTAAATGATACATAAAAAAAAAATTGAGTGCCTATTGATGCAATAAACTAATGATTTACATGTGCACCTACAAAATACAGATGCATTATGTTTTGGTGCATAATTTATTAACCTTGCAAAATGGCTACTTATGGTTGTTTATGTTTCTTACTTTAAATATAAAGAAGCCTGTTTGTGTTTTGATTGAAATTTTCTTTTATTTGACTCTTTTCATTTTGAAATGCCTATAAATTTAGGGAAAATATATATTAAGTGGTTTATTGAATACTTTTTATTCTTGTATGAATATATGTGTTTAATACTTTTTATAATTAGGGGCATATCATGATTTAGGCAGCTGCCTAAATGTTTTTTCTCTAAATATAATTTATTGTGATTAAAGTAACTGAAACTAGATTTGATTTTGTAAGCATTGGAACAATTTATATATTTTTTTTTCCTAAGCATATCATGCTTGTTTACATAATTTAACCTCCTCCCTGCTAAATTATAATGTATTTATTATTTAACCTCCTCCCTGCTAAATTATAATGTGTAGAATGTGTTTGATATTTCTGAATGTATGAACATTCATTGATGATAAATTAATTGAGATATTTAAAAAGTCATGCTGTCAAAAAAGTACTTAGTAATGAAAATAAAAGTACTTTGAAAGGCACAAATATGCTTTCTAAATATGATGAATGTTATCTTCAGTTTTAAAGAATATACTATTATATTTAGATAGCTGTTGTCAATGCTTATATTACATATTTCAAAATTATGTAACAAAATTTCTTTGTGTCTTAAATACAATTTTGATTTTGAGCTTACTATTATATTTTTTATAATTGAACTGTAGGAAAGTCTCTTAATGATGAAATTTTACCTGTGACTATATATAATAAGCAATAATATAATTATATTTCTTTAAGTAATCTGGTGTGGTAAAGCTTTATAATAAAATTTTAATAGTTACATACAACGTAATGATATGCCTCAAATAAATTCTTTGCTTCATTTTAGTGTTTTGTATGTTCTGTAGTATGTAGTGTATATATCTGTTTCCCCCTAGAGCTCAAAGTTGTTGATAGGAGGAGTGACATTTGAATCTCAAATCAGTTTTAATTGACTTTAATGATTAAGTTTATTTATTTTTTAGTTAAATATCATATTACCAATGTCTTCCATAATTGAACTCTTGTAAAAGAAATCTAAATTCTGAGATCAGTGTATGTTTTTTTTAAAAATTGTTTCCTGAATGTGAGTATAGTGAAATACATGAATCATTATACTTAAAAGGAAACTGCAACTATGTAGCATTTCTGAAAAATGTATATTTTGTTGAAAATTATTTGCTCATTTTAAGTTTGGTTTTATTGAAGCTTGTATTGTTAAAACTTTTTTTTAATTCTATATCTTGTTGTTGTTTCCACTGTAATGTTAGTTATGAATATTACAGATTTCTCATGCCAAAAATATTGTTTCAATAATACTAAACATGATACTGTGAATTATATTAAAAATATAGGGGTATTTTATTGTTTTCAGTTTAATGTTTATAGTATTATTAGTGAATAAAGTAACAGTTTTAAAGATAAATTTCTTTGAAGATAAAATGATATAATTTTTTAAAATTTTTAATCCACCATAGGTAGCACTAGCTTTCTTTCGCTGTAACTTAAAATGTTGCTGAATTTTGTTTAAATATATTTATTTGTGTTTTTAGTAATAGCTGAAATTATTTTTTTTGACTGAATAAAATTATAATTATACATTTAAAAAAATCGATAAACTATTGTAACTGAATGTTTAATTATTGATCCCTAAAACATTAGTCTGTGATCAGTATAAAAATTGGGTAAACGTTTCTTAACAATTTTTGCTGAATGATTTAATATTTATCTGGTTAAAATCAGTTAATAAATAGAATGTGTATTTTTATGTGATTAATATAGTTTGGCAAAGGAAGAATTTTTCAAATGTGTTTAAGCTGATGACTTTCTGATTGTGTGATAATTTAATAATTCTTTTTCAGCCTTAGTTAGACGTTGAATGTGATTAAATATAATGTACAAATTATGATGAAATACTCCATTTTTTTACTTTAAATTTTATTTAGAGTGTTAATAATATAAATAAAAACATTACATATTTTTATGTGTGTGCTTTTATTATTTGTAATAATATTCTTGTGTTTAATTTTGATTTCCTGTATTGTTACATACATGTATTTTCTGTAATACTGACTGAATGTTGTTTCTGACTGAGATCATAAATCATGTAATCCAAGTATATAATTCAGTAGTGACCCTCATATCTGTGGATATACTTTTAAGAAAACTGGATAAAGCAAACATTATATAAAGTAGGATGTTTCTATAAAATTCATAAATGCAGTGATATTGATAAATTTTGCATTGTAATATGCAGTCAACATTAAATAAATTAATGTATATTATACATTAAGTTATGTTACATACTTTTCTACCAAATAATATAATGCAAAACACACTGTGTACTACAGTTAATTTTCTAATGCTTGGTTTCTTTAAAAATAAGGGATCATAATTCATAAAAGATTTGTGAGGGATAAAAATATTCAGTTCAAGGAATGGTAGAAATTAAAATATCATCGTTTTTTCTAACAAAGCAATCTAATAACTAATTTAATTCATTTGTTTCTGATTAGAATAGGGAGAATGCTAGACATTAGAGACAGATTTAACAGAGAAGTAGGGATATAAAAATTAAGAAATACGAGTTGAATACTGTGATCACTTACAATCATGATCTCTTGGCAGTATATTTATCATAATTAAGAAGGAAATCTGCAGAGAAATGCAGAGACCTAAAAAGAGACTAGCAAGGTGAGAACGTGCAAAAGATCTGGAGTGACAATTTTCATTTTCTATTCTGAAACGAGCATCCAAATTATTATTATCAGAAATTGCATGCTTGAACTACTATATTTTGCCATATTATAGCCTGTCATGCATTTTGGAATTTAAACCAGTATTTTTAGGGTTAAGTTACTGTAACCACAGATATTGGGGTACAACTTACGTTTTACAAATTCAAAGGTACAGAAGAATGGAAATGTATCTGAACAAATACTTTTTAATATAAGTTAGTATTCTTGTTCATTTTAATAACTGTAGCTTTAAAGAGCAAACTTCTGATTCAAATGTAACCTGCAGTGTGTAGAAAGTGCAAAGTTGTGTCATTTTATACTCTTTATGAGCAAATCACGCATTGACATGAAATAGCATTTTTTACTGTTTGTAACATAATACCTGTATGCTAGCTGTGATATCTATTTCTGAATTATTAGTGCTGAATCCTATGCAACAAAAAACTTTTCAGCACATCTCTTTTCATCTAACTTTATAAGTTTATTAATCTTATTTTATGTAAAGAAACTTCTAATTTATATTTTATTCTGAAACATTTCTATCTGAAATGTTTTTCCCTACCTCAGTATAGTTCTGCAGTTTTCGTAGCTTTTCAGCATTAAATATTATTATGATGTCAGAAAAAAAATCTTGCATAGCAAATTTTACACTGATTTCAGAATGTTTAAAATTATTATTATTATTTTTTCTCTTTCAATCAGGTATCTCAAATGTCTCTTGCATTATGTTGACAAACTAGTTGATACTAGTTTCATATTCATGTAATTTGTATTCAGTGATGTAATAATATATATTATTATACAAAATGTCATATTCTAACACAAATTGCCAAAAGAAGAAAGAAAAAAAAGTGACAGCATAGGAAATTAAAATGTTATTTTTAGCCACATTTTAATGTGTCTTTCAAATTGCTGCTGTGATTTGTTTATCATTGTTGCAAAAGTTGTTGGGATGTTTCTTAATATCTTATTATTTCTCAGTGTCAAAAGATTGTTACAAAATATTTGTATTTTGAATAGCAACTTGCATGCTATGGTTTTATTCTTATTTTTAAATGACATTCATTATTAAGATTGTATATTTTCCAAACTCATTTCATTAAAAAAAATAGAGGAAAGAGAAACACAGTATGAATGGTGAAATCATGAGTGGTAGCACAGGCCCAAACCCAATAGTTTATAAACATATATATATGGAGAGAGATGTCTCATTTATAGTTATTTTCAATATATTATTTCTTTCCTCAAGTGAATTGCTTGGTTTGAATGTGAAACAGTTTTATGAATTTTAATTATCAAACTATTATAGTTAAAAAACTTACTTACGTAAAGTTGTGGTTAATAGTGCTCAGTTTCATAAAATTTCTATAATTATTTCATTCTTATGAATACAAAAATTATTTTAAGTTGCCTTCTCCCATTATAGTTTTCATATTCACAGTAGGTTAGAAATGCATACTTTTTTATAAATGGTGGAAAAAGTAATTTTTTTTTTCTGTAACTGATATGTATACATTTTAACGTACATTTATTATATGCAGTCATGCAGAGATACGTGAGATTTCTGATTGAAATATTTACCTTTTGTGTTGATATCTTGTTGTAAATAAAATGTTTAAAAAATTGTCTTTAAAATGGTTATTCAAATTGCTCAGTGAATTAAATTATTAATATTTTCATTGTAAAATTAATAACATTTTCTAAAAATTTTATTAAGCATTCTTTTTCTTGTTATTTCAGTGTTTTATTTTTTATAGGAATTAAATTATTTCCTTATTCTAAGCAATAAAAACTCAAGTAAGATATTTTCCTATGTATATCTTATGATACTTGCCAAATATGCAAAGTTATTGTTTTTCGAAGAAGTTATATAAAAATGTGTAAAAAGTGTCATTTTCTGTGATGTACTGTGTGTTTTGATTTCTTGTAATCTACTTTTAGGTCATTAATCTAGCTTTCTGTTTTACAGATTTATTATTTTTTAATATTACTACATTATTGCTTTTTTCTATAATTGCTATAAATGTATACCATGACTATTTTATATTAGTTTCTAGATTTCTGTAGCAGTGTTTTTGATTAGCTGTCTTTATATAGAAATTAATGCACATTATTTTTCAAAAATCATAAAATATTTCTAAAATGATAAATTTGATCATAATTTTAGAATAAAAGTATGATAATTATATTAATATGCTAAAAAGATTTTAATTTGAAAAATTTAATTATTTTGTTATGATATATAAATTCCATATATATATATGCTACATTAGTTTTAATCTTCAATAATTATTTTTAAGTCATTGCAATAATAATTATTAAGTCATTGCATCTAAAATATTGGTTTTATTTTTGCCTTTTTTCAAAATTATATTAACTTTTAGCTGAGATATTAATCATAATTTAAAACTTGTATATACTGTAAAATAAACTGTAATGGCACAAATATGTATATAGGATTAAAAGTCAAGAAATGTTAACAACACAGATTTTTTGAGTTATATGTACATTTATACTTCTTCATGCTTTACTGTTGTTGAAGTTGTTTGACTGTTTGAGAAAAGAAATATCAACATTTTTCAAGTTATAAGATTCAGTGTTGTGAATTTGGCAGAAATATACCTGAACTTCCTTCCCCAATTTATTGGAAATTTCATGTAATTGTAATTATACCTACTAAAATTCTGAATAATTTGAGTAATGCTTTAAACATGAATCAATCTATAAATTGTAAAATTTAAAGAGTAAGCATATTTCATTCAAAGTTTCACGCACAAATGTTGCACCAAATACAGTATATATTTTCTCACGGATTTATATCTGTGCTTCTTATAAATGCTTCTTTAATAAATACTGCATATATTTTATTTCACTTTTCAAAATTTAAATCAGATGAATTAGACAATCTAAGACTCGTACATGTTACACAGTGCATGAAATAAAAGTGATGTATTTTGCATGGAAGGCTATATTAGTCATTGTCTTTTAAAGTTCTCTGATTTTGAAATCACTTAAATTAATTAATTGTTTCATCATTTTGCTTAAAACTAATATCACTCAAATGATATTAAAGATGCTTTACATTAATGTTTTTTAGATATTTAATGTATTCATTTGAGACAAGATTTTGCATTCCAAGTATAAGCAAGCAAGGTTTTTCAACTGTAAATCAGAATTATCAACATAAAATTGAAATCTTAAAAGTTATAATGCATATTTTAGATTGAGCAACAACTTCATTACTTCTACAACTGCCAAAAAATAATTCTAAAATAAAATAAAACATGTTCACAAAAGAGCACTGTTATATAATAGGAATGTGTATGTATATATAATTCATAGATTTCATATCACAAATGTGTAATATGTAATAAAAACCAAATTACTAAATCCCTAAAAGCTGAAAATCAAGTTACATTCTTTAATGATTATAAATTATTAAGCCATATCTTTTAAAAGCATTATCTATATGTTCGTGTGTACACACACACACACATATATTATATACACATGTATATGTAAGCTTTATATATATGTACATGTGTATATATGTACTGAAGTTGGACAAAAATATGGAAACACAGAAATAAAAAATTATTGCTTTAACTAATACAGTGTAGGAAAACCGTTGGCATTCAATACAGCTTGCAGTCCTCTCGGAATGAATAGGTCTTATATGCTTTGCAAGGGAATCTTGTATCATTCTTCCCGTAAAACATTGGCTGGTTCAGTTAACGATGATGGCGGTGGATAGCGCTCATGCAGATTTCTCTCCAAAATAACCCACAAAGGCTCAATAATATTGATATCTGGTGACATCCTCATGCTCAGAAAAACAGTTTTCGATGATGTGAACTGAGTGGTCTTTGAATACGGCATCACCACTTGTTTCTGCACAAAATTTAGCATGAAACCCATTAATTTGTTTAATTTACCATTAAATTTGTGAACAAAATTTTACCACGGGATTGACATGATCAACCAAAAGTGGTCATGTAATCCTTGGCAGTAATATGACCTTGCACAGTAATGATGAGTCTTATGGATATGGCTGTGCAGACCATGACCAAACCGCCACCATGTTTTACTTTCGGCAGCAAACAGTTTTTATCATAGGTTTGGGATGGCTTTCGCCAGACACTAAACTTGTCCAAAAGATAAAAATGATGTGAAGCAAGACTTATCTGACCAAATGACGATTTTCCATTGGTATACAGTCCAGGTTTTATGATTTTGGCACTTCTTTCTCCTTGTACAGGCATTTTGATCACTGATGAGTGGCTTTTGAATTACAGCTTGCCCCAAAATACCCTGCTTGTTGAGCTCCCTTCATATTGTTTTGGTGCTGACAGGGTTTGGTAGTGCGACATTCAATTCAGCAGTCACTTTAGTGGTCATAGTCCTCTTATTTTTTGTCACAATTCTCTTTAATGATCGTTTGTCATGATCACTCAACACATATTTTTGTTCATGCTGTGATTTAGTGGATGTGATTTTTCCAGTTTTCCTGTATGACTTAAAAATCTTCTGTACTGTGCCTCTTGAAACACCAAAGACTTCAGCTACCTTGGTTACAAAAGCACCCACCATACAAGCTCCAACAATTTGCCCATGTTCAAATTCATTTAACTCTGACATAATGCACTCACAACAGCACAGAACACTCTCTCAGTAATGAATGACACTTGCAACATAGTGAAGATGTTGTACAGGTGACGTTAATGAGCAAACACATCAGTGTCATCAACAGCTTTTGCAAAAATAAATATTTCAATTAAATACTGAGTCCCAATAAACCTTTGTCCATGAAACATATTTTTTTGCCCAAGAAAGTCACTTCTGCATAATGTTTTGTGTAAGAAAAGACTTTTTTTTATTGGGGCGATATGCATGTAGACTACATTCTGCAAGGTGTCTTTGGACAGTTCATTCAGCTTTTAAATCAGTAGCATTTATGTGGTGATTATGGGGAGACATCAGTTTTAGATATTGATCATCAGGTTTTTGTGGTCCCCACTTTTGTCCCTTCTTTCGCAAAAGTATAATCAGTTTTATGCTGCAATTTAATCGTTCATGAAACAGTAAATTGATTGCAGCTTGGTGATAACGAGTGTCAAATATACTTTTTAAGCTAAAGCAACCACCTTAACACTTTTTCCCTTGTATTCATTTAAACATACAAAGCCATCCTTTCATTGCTTAACCCTTCGAGCACCATGACTGCCTTTATCCGGTCATGAGATTTTTTTGTTACTTGGTATATATTAGCTTATAGTTTAAGATATTTAGCTTTCTTACTTTCTTTAACATAAATGTCATCTTAATAAGTTTATGAAAATGAAGACTAAAGCAAATAAATATGCAAATTTTCCTAATAAAGTCTCTGTAAATGCAAGTCTTCACAACAGATCCAAAAACCTGCATCACTCAGAGGGTTTTAGAAAGAGAGGAATGATCATTTTCCTCTTTTGACAATATTTACAGAAATCATATTATATAATACTTCAGAAGTGCTTTATGATGTAATATGAACATAAAATTACCTTACATTGTGCTTTCCAGCAACCACAGTTATTAAATTTGAGCAAAATAATGCATTAACAGTACAAAATATTAATTTTTCTAGATGATGCAGTCCCCCCCCCTCTACTGTGTATATGTAGATAAAAATTATTTGAAATATGAAAGAAATACACTTTACTGAATACTAAGACAATTTTTCTGAAAAATTTCAGCTTCTGCACAGATTTCATTCAAAATTCAAGAATTTGATAATTTAATCAATATTTTAATATAAAAAGGGTAAGTTTTATGTCTAGTCATCAACAGAATGTTTTCATAGTCTTCCTGCATAGACTGAATAATAATAATTACAAACAAAATGTGAAATTTAAAAATTAGAAGAAACAGATTATAATGTCCTGAAAAAAAATAGTATAAACTGAATAAAAATTACTTTTAAATTTATAAACGTAAGATGCAAATTACTAAGAAGATTTTAAAAAAATATTTTAAAGGAAATGTTAAAAAATCAGAGAAAAATTTTATTCTCAACTCAAATATTATTATTATATTTATACATGTAAGCCCATATACTGTGTGCTGTTATTTATGATATTTTCCTATGCTGGAAGGTTGAAGTACTTAATGTTTTTTTTTTTTTTTTTTTTTTTTTTTTTTTTTTTTTTTTGTTTTATATATTCAAGATGTGCATTAACCCAACTTAAATTTAACACAAAGTCAGCATTGTTAAGAATTTTCAGAAAAGCTTCAAATCCTTCTATAAAGTTCTGTAAAACATTTAAATACCAATTTTTTTCATTGGGGGGGGAAGGGGTCTAGCTGAGTTCTTAAAGCTGTTATAAAAAGCTTAAAATAGAGTCATTAAATTATTTTGACTCATAAACTAATATTATGATTTTTTAGTTAAAATCCTGAATATAGTTTTCATGATATTGCTTGTGATTATTATTTTAGTTCAAACATTTAAATGATAAAATTTTAAAAGGAGAAATATTTCTTTTGATTTTGCATTAATTGTAACTTTATTTTCAGCTGGGTGTTATTATCAACTTACTTTTACTGAAAAAATTATATTAGTAGTATATATATCTTATTTGAGAACTGAACATAGCCTTATTATTATCATGTTTACATTTTAGTTATGCATATTTCAAATTTTTTACTCTAAATAGATGTATTAAAAGAAAATTGAATGGAATATTTTCATAATAATAAGTAATAATACAGTCACTAAGCTGCATTCAGCTGTTTGTTGCTAAAATCTGTAAAGAATTTTAACATTCTATTGTAGTTGAATGATTACACCATTTATATGAAGATTATTAATTGCATTTTAATGTTGAAGTGCACTTTATTATAAGAAAAATGTGAATATTCAGTGCATATTTAATGTCAGCTGCACTGTTAATGTATATCAGGTTTTACTACATGTACTTATTGTATTTAAAATCAAATTTTCCATTCAAGATTCAACATTCTGTTGTCAAATTTGTTGTTGCAATATGAGGTACAGTTTATTACTGTTCTTTTTCTCTAGTATGTGCCAATTTCACTAGTTCATGAGACACATGCACTTTGTATTGAATTAAATGTGGTCATTGAACAGTCAGTATACATCATGCCAAAAAGCAGATTATGCTGATGAATATTTTAATATATTTATATTTTAATAACACGTAGAACTTTAGAAGTTA